AATAATAAAAGAATTATTTAATCATTTTAATAATACTTAATGATATATGACAAATAGTCCTTCAATACTTAATATCACTTATTTTTTTATCCATCAATTTGAGGATAGAAGGCTAAAGATAGTTTTATATCCATCTTTAATATTTTAAAAATAATTTTTTAAAACCTAAATACAAATTGGATTTTTTTGATTTTAATGTAATATTCTTAAATAATCTATAATAGTAATAAATACTATCAAAAATATCTAATTCTTTCTCTAATTAATTATAGTTTTTTTATATAATAAAAAATATATTAATTATAGTTTTTATAAAAAATCATAAAAATTAGATATTTTTTGAAATGTCTAATAATCTATAATAATTAGATATTTTTTGATAGTATTTATTACTATTATAGATTATTAGATATTTTTTGATAGTATTTAATACTATTATAATAATATCTATAATAGTAATAAATACTATCAAAAAAATCTAATAATCTATAAAAAATCATAAAAATAATATAAAAAATTAATAAAAATAATATAAAAATCATAAAAATACTAATAATCTATAATAGTAATAAATACTATCAAAAAAATTATGATTTTTATGATTTTTAATAAAATTAGTAAATTAAGAATACTTTTTAGATAATTGTATTATTTTAAAATAAATCTATAATTAAAAGAATATTTTTATTGTAGATCTTATAATTAATCTTAGTTGCTGAAAACAAATTGAATAAAAATTTATGGAATAAAATTTTTCATCTATTATTATTTTTAATAATATTACATCTAATAAAAAATCTAATGTATTTATTTTCTTAAAATATGGCTTAAAGAAGTTAACTTGATATAAAATTGATGCTAGAATAAAACCTATCTTTAAGGCTATAAATGTTGCTACTTGTTTTTTCAACTCAATTTCATCGTTATAAGTCAAACATAAAATAAATATGCAACTTGAAAGAATTTTTTTATAGAAATTTAATAGCAATTAAAAAATTTCAAAAAATATTCGATGTCACTTTTTGTTTTTGGAGTTCTTTAATTTATGATAGTCCAAAAGTTTTTAGAATTCATCATAAGGCTATTATTTAAAATAAAATATTCTAAAAAATCAACTCAAGTTATAAAATACATAATTATTCATTTTAGTATTTAGTCTTGCACAAATATGATGCTCATGTTTTTTTGTATTCTTAAAATAAATCAAAATATTGTTCAAATAACTAATAACAAAAGCATCTAAAAATTCTCAAAAAAAATCATCAATAAGATATTAAAAATAAGCTTGAACATTTTAGAGTCTAAAAGCTATAATATTATATTCAGAATATCTTAATCTATTTCAAAAGATGATATTTTATTTATCTCTTTTTTTAATCTGTAATAGCTTATATGCTCATTATAGATCTATTTTATTATAAATCTTAGCTTGATTCAATTGATTAAAAAGTCCTAATATCAAAAGTAGAAGATATTTATTTTTGGTGGTATTATTATTAAGTCTTTAATAATCTATACATATTTAATACAATCCATCATTTTTCTTCATAAATAAGATAAGAGCTTATATTGAAGATTTTGAATATTGTATAAAAACTTTTGAAAAGTTTTAATCAATATATTACTTAAATTAAGCCAATTTATTTTGAAATAAACTATAAATTGGTCCAAATGATAGTTGAGCTCATTTTTAAAGATCAATTGCATAATTATAAGGATAATATTTTAAAAGCATATTTATATTTTTTAAAATATGTCTTAGATTTTTTTATATTATATTAGAATATTTCTTAAAGTCTTTCAATTATCAAAAATAAGTGTAGAATATATAACAAATAAAACTCATTTTTTCTTGTTGTATATATAAAAGCTTTTATTTCTAAAAATAAAGATTTGGTTATATTAGGCTTATAATTCACTTCTTGATTAATAAAAGTTTTAATTATACTATAGAAAAAAATTAAGATTACTAAAAATCTAATCCATATAGGATTATATATATATATATATATATATTAGCCATGATAAATCTAAAATAGCTAGATTAAAAAGAGAGCTAATAATATTAAACGATACTAAGCTATATTGACCATATGTTTTTATATTTAAAGGAATGGTTTTATAGATAATATCTCTAGAAGATAAAAGACAGCCATCTATGAATACTAGATGCATGGACTTAGTTTTCTTTACCTAAGTTATGTTTTTTTATTTTCTTATTTTAAAGTCTTCATCTAGAAAATAAATTAAGATTCATGAATCTAAAAAGACAAAGGCTTCATCTAATAAGACAGAGGCTTTGTGATTTTTAAGTCCTAAATAAATATCTATTGTAAAATAAAGAAAGGGTTTTAAAGAGAATAGAATCTTTATTAGGTATTATATAAGATTTTAGCATCATAGTTCTTATTATAGTTAGACAATTGTTTTTTTAATACTTTATTTTTCTTAATAAAAATAATTTTTATTATATGTTTGTATTGATTCTTTATACAATATTAAGTAATATGCTTAAATTTTCCATAATATAAGCACAATCTTTCTTGACAACATTGAAATTTTTATTATTTAGTGAAAAGTTCAAAAATTACTACATCGATTTTTCATATCTTCTACCTTCAAATGTATGTATTAAGAAGATGTTGGTATTGTCATTGGATTATAAATACATTGAGGCACACTTGTATTATTCTAAGATTAAAATTCAAGAAGTTAATTGTCATACTTCACATCAAAACCAATTATGTGACTTAATATTTAATAATTAGATAAATTTAGCATCAATTTCTTTATCTCATATTATAATCTATAGAAAAATTGACTAATAAGTATAGTATTAATTTTTTTAACTTATATTACAATCTATAGAAAAATTGGCTAATAAATACATCATCTCACTTGATATTAGTTATCAGTTGTCAAAATCATAAAATATATAATAATCATAAAACATATAATAATCATGAATGATTATCTTAATATAAAATATAAATTTTATTACTTGCAATACAAATTATGTTACATTTTTCATACATAAAATAGAATTTTTTTTAAAAAAAACCTCCAAATTATTTAATATTAGATTGCATAATTTTAACAAAAGGTTAAAATTATAATAAAGCACAATCTAAAAGTAATGTTTTAATAAATTTGACTTGTGATGCAAAAGTTGGATAACTTTAAGTTTGAAGATCAATTACTAATTTTACTTGATTGATAAATCTTTAGAACTTTGATATTGTACCATTAAAATTTTCAAGCAAAACAACTCTTATTTCTCTATTGCTTGTAGTGGTATTGAAACGGTATTCTATCATAGCAAAAGTAATATAATTTGCTAGAGATGTTGAGATAACTCCAACCATCTCTATATCTTTACTTCTAATGAATCTTATTGTTTTTTGTAGTAGTAAATTGAGTTAATGCATTGCAAGTATTAATTTCCTCATTTTTATTTACATTTGTATAATTATACCTTTCATTTTAATAAACTTTGCTATATAAATATAAATATTTTATCTACTAATTATGCACAAATCTACATCAATGAAGCCTCTAAAAAGCTTCTCACCAAGATATTATCAAATTAACTTATATTTATGTACTTCTACCAAATTCAACTTATCTTCCTAATTATTAATTTTAGTATTCATGTTTTTGATAAAGATATGGATATTCTATAGTTCTAATATTTTATTATTTTATTAAGTAATTTTATATTAAAGAATATAAAATTTATTATAAAAAAGATATAAAAATCAAATTACTTCTTTTTCAATAAATTTTATTGATTAAAGAATCTAAAATACTACTTTTTAAAGTTAATGATCAAATTTTCTTTTGTATTAAGGTTTTAAGAAAATAATTTCAAATAAATTTCAAATAAAAAATAAATTAATTTTTATTTAAAAAAATATAATACGAAAGATAGAAAAAAATCAAAAGAACTTTTATCAAATAGAAAAGAAACTAAAGAACCTTAAACAAAGACTAAACTAAAAGAAAAAAGAATTATTGAAAAAAACTAATAACAATTTTAATTTTTCTTCTATAAACTTGCTACCAACAAAGACATATAGAAGCTTCTTTGAGACTACAAAATTTATGGTCTAAGCATCTGAATAGTAGGTTGTTTCTATTACAACTTTCAAAAATATTTAAAATTATAAAAATAATTAATATTGATTTAAAAAATATAAAATTCTTGTAAATAATGATACTATTCTTAGGATAAATTTAAAATATTAATTTTTTATTGATTTGTGGATTTTGAAATTAATATTAGCTGCTAAAGATGTTTTCAAAGCTGTATTTTAGAATAAAGTAGCCATTAACAAACCTTAGAATAAAGCACTTGTAATCTTTTTAAGTTTATATATTATAAAAAGATATTTCTATCAAAAAAATTAATATTTATATGTTTTTAGTAACACAAAGCCATTTTTTCTTGTTGAATTTTTTTAGATAATTATTATTTGTGAATATAACACATTGAGGTTTATTCAACAAAAAAACTTTTTTAATTAGTGTATTAAATATTCTATGATTTTAATAGATTTAGATCTTGTTATTGTAACTTTGGTAAATTTTAAATATGATAAATTTTAAGATGACTTGTTTTTTCTATTCTAACCTTGTAAACGTCATCTACACTATATTGAATGCCAAAATGTTTTCACTAAAATTGCTTCTTTATATCAATACCATACAATCCCCTTTGGATTCACTTGGGTTGCTTTAATTGACATCAAATTGGCAATTTGTCTATTCATTCATCACTTCACTCTCTGTATGTCCAAGTCTATTTCACTACCCTAACCTTTATCTACCACTTGTTTTTTTTGTCATTTTTGTGCAATCACTAGAAGGCAGAGCTAAAATTTTAACTTTGAATTATGTACTACCCACGGAGTCATGAGGTCGGTCAGTGGAGTTCCAAATGTCTAGTTCGTGATTGGTGGACTGCATTAATAATGTGCACTCATGGAATAGACAATACGATCACGAAGTAGTTGGAGGAGTCTTCATAAATTATAAGCGTCAAATACACGGCCTTTGTCCACAAGCCCTGGATGGAAATTTGCAAAAACCCTCGTAAAAATCATTGATATTGTTGTATAAAGCGTGATGCGAAGCAGCCAAGAGTAGTAGGAACATTGCCCGTGTGCAGAATGTATTCAGCTCGGTGCCTGGCTTTGGCAGTAAGCTCATCATGTAAGGCCTTAGCAGCAGCTCTCATTTCTTGAGCTTTTCGATTAGCAACATCAATCTTAATTGACATCTTCTGGCTTGCATTCTCGTGCAGTTTCTCTAGTTTTATCTGAAAGAAGATTGACACATCAATGAGAGCCGTCTGTACAGTAAAGGTTCTGCAGAATAACAAAGGTCAATGAGATATTCTGGTTTTTTTTAAAAAGTAAACGCACCTCCATCTTCCTCATTTGCGTTTGTGCCTTGGCTTTTTGGAGCTCCTCCCAGGCCTGAATCCTAGCTTCCTCCTGATGGAATCTATGCAGGGCAGGGAAAGATCCAATGCTACTTAAGTACCCTTACAAAACTGCTAAACATAGAAGAGGTTATTGACCAATGAAAAAACCGCAACTTGATTTTCAAACACCCATACCAAGCAGAATCTAGGCTATGTGAAATTTATCTGCAAATGCAGGAAATGTCTGTCCATGACTCATGGATAGTTAATATACTGCCGACGGCGAAGGATATTTTGGAGTTATTCCTAAGATTTTCAGCAAGCTTATTGCCACAATAAAGAAATTTTTATGGCATCAAATCGCAGATTCATGAATCTATTTTTTCGATTAGAATATTTTCTAGCCAGAGAATCTTATGCTGACACAACAGATTACCAGGTGGAATTGCCAAGTTGAGTATGTCTGAAGTGCTGAATCAGTCTGCTAAATGAAATTTTCCTTCCGACTTACCCCAGAAATGTTTTTAGGCTGAAATCGGTCAGAGGTCAGAGACAAGTCGCTGTAGCTGTAACAGACACTAAAGTGGAAGCTAGTTACCTCGCTGTATATTTTGCACGCTCAGCTTCCTCCCAAGCTGCGGCCCAGGCTACCAACGCACTTGCCTGTCCCTCCACACAATCATGGGGTCTTAAGCATGTTGCACTGTCCTCGTCCTCTTCTTCTCTAGTACTCCAATTTAAGTTTCTGTAAAGAGAGGCATGTAGTTGGGGACCTTGAGTGTGATCCCTTAGTTTTTCAATGTGGAAACTCTGAAGGTCGAGCATGTCCACAGTCGAAGATGCTCCCACAGATGCGGTTCTGCAGTTCCAGCGGTCAGGAGTGTTATGTCTGCTGGGCGAGATAAAAATTCCTGGAGCTGCACCTCTGGAGAGTCGGACACTGGGATTGGGAGTCATTTGTGTCCCCGTGTCTCTGTACACTGTAGAGGGCTGTGCGGCGTCAGTTCCGGACTCCCTCATAGAGATAGCATCCGCCGAATCTGAAACCGACCTGGAGTGCGCACCATTGGAAAAGATGTCTGAAAGATAACAAACAATAATTAGTTTAATGCTGCGTCCTGACATTAACCACGAGCTCTGTTACCTAATCAAGTTTTATTACCCTTGTCTGAATGTTAAGCTTGTCAGCTTTCTAAATCCCCAGGTTGCTGATACAGTCATCAATGCGTAACTATAGAAGCACCCCAAAAATAGTGACTAATTACACGAGTCATTAAAGACATAATTGGGAGGAGAAAAAAAAAAAAAAAAAAAAAAAAAAAAACTGTGGCTGTGGGTACAATTGGTTCAAAGTTGACGCCATACAGAAATCTTCACACCTTTGATGGGGGCATTAGTAGACGTTTCTGCAGGTACTTGACTCTCTGGAAGGTTGACGGATACTGGCATCTGCGATGCTTGTGGCTTCATAGCCAATTTAGTTGGAGATGACGAACCATCCAGTCTACTGACCAGCGCCCGTTGGACATGCATGGAGGAGGTTTTTGGTTTATCTCCCAGTTTTTCGTCCGAATTCACACTAAAATTAGGTGACGACTCCAGCTCTGTACGTTTTACAACTGCATGTGAAGCATCACGTCTTTTAGCATGGTCACTGAAGGAGGAGCCACTCGACAGAGAATTTTGAATGAGACTCTCTAGTTGCTGAATATGGTCCTTAACATTAACTCCGCCTGTGATCTCGTTGGTTTTTTGTGAGACTGACGTTGAAGACGCTTCGCTTGATGGGGCAAGATCGGGGCTGCCAAATCCATGACGTCCTCCTGGGCCTTGACTTGCGATTGTAACACGTTTTCCTGCAAGTTTCATAGACAATCAAAGCCCAAGTCAATTATTATGAAAGCTTTCTGAAGGTAAGATTGATTCTGATTAGTCAGAGATAAACCCTAGACAATGTATTCTGCTGTAAGAGTGACCAGAGATCTGGTCCTCAATATGAACCGAATAATGTCACCCATTCATCAATTCCACCACGATCGAATGTCTCTGTAATCCAAAACGGTGAAAACCTGTAGAGGCGGTCTAATCAGGTAGTGATAGTGGTTCTTACCAGGTTGTGACAATGTGCCTGGTCCCAAGCCTTGATTAGAACGAGCGCTATGTGTAATTGCTGCTTCGCTGTGACATGGGCTCGCAATCCACTTATCAGCATCATCCCACTTTGATGGAGGTGCTTTGGGAACCTTGGATTGCATTGCCGGTCTCTGCTGATAATGACCACCTGCAATTACAGGAAGTTAAATTTTATTGTCCTCAAGAGACATGGGCGTTTAAAAACATGTAAGTTGCTTTTCTGAAGTGACAATTGTCCAGAAAATAGTCTACAGTATTTTTATGGTGCATTTTGACGATCTGTTTCACTATCTTACAATCAAATTGTCAGTAGAGGCTGGATATCTGAGGAGCATGACCACCTGAGAATTGTACCCACAGTCTACTACAGTTGCATTTCAAAGCCCAGGCTTCCGCTAACCTTATTTCACTACGTTAAGATGTCCCACATCATTCCTCTGCCCTCCTGGAACTAAACTTAGTTTAGTGCCAGGGTATGCAAACGTACCCGTGCTGCTCGATTGATGACCATCGCTTGCTTGCTTTCTCCTGGTCTCCTCTCCCACATCTTCACTGCTATCAGACGATAGCGCATCATCCAGCTTGCTATCTTCAAATTGGACATACCGACGTGGTCCATCTTTTAACTGGGTCACATGCATCTCTTTGTTTCCTCCGGGGCGATGTGAAGTTGCCTCTGAATGATGGCAATGACCTGGGCCTTGATGCTGATTATTTCGATTGACATCCTGTCCAGAAACCTGATGTTTGTGACCATTTGACCGAGCACCTGCTTCCAGCCACACAGACAATGGCCCAACATGCGACTGCCCTGCACCGATGGAAGCAATTTAAGACATGTAAATAGCCACTCGTACTCCAAATTTGATGTTACTTTCTAAGACGTTACGACGTGTTTTGGAGTGGTCCTAACAGTCTAGAATCATTCTTTGGTTGTCGAGAGCTAATTTCTTGCTTTAGATAGGCACTTACCATTGCCATTGTGGTGCTGTTTACTGAGTTTCTGGGAATTATTCGAAGTTGATTCATTTGAATGTGTCCCATTGTAAATCTCGGAGTATTGATGCTGCTTGTATTCAGGGCTAGCATAACCATAACGGACTGGCTCAGGATGTGGTGGCTTCGGGGAGCAAACGGCTTTCACTTGAGCATTGTCAATGTCTCTGCCCAATGATGCGCCTGCTGAATCATTCGGAAAACTTCCCTGGAAGGTCTTGCACCCCCTGGACATGGTCTGAATAATTTCCTTGTCTAAAGAGTCAATGGAGAATTCGTGCTTTCTTCCAACCGCGGCAAAATGCTCAGTTCTTCGTCTAATTGTATCTGCATGCTGGGCCTTACATTTGGCCGATACTAATTCTTGACGTCCCAACTCTGGATCAAAAGAGTCGTGAAATAAGTACGCAGAGTGAGGAATACATGATTAACCTGCTAGACTACCACAACCTCTCCTTCAAGTATAGCTGAATTTCTAATGAACATGAAAAGGATTCTTTGTATCAAATACCTTTCGCAGTTCCGTAAAATATTATTTGCATAGCCTCAGACAAATATGACATGTGCTAATCAATGAGAGCATATATGCTACATGCAAACAACACCAATCGAAAAAGCCATGCACTTGAGTATCATTAGAGAATGTAAAAGAAATAACTGGTTTTGGAGGAATCCTCCATTGGTGGTAGCGTTCACGACGTCCACAACTTCATGCTGAGCAGGATTTTGACGTACTGAAGTCTCGATCCTGTTGGACAACACAAAGGTTCAAAACTCTTGAAACATAATGGCTAGGAAAAGTGAGCATATCAGTTACAGTACAAAAAACAATTATCCAGAACGAGCTGAGAATGCAAATGACAGATGCTTGTTCATACATGGTTCTGCAGCAGAGGTTCAATGATTAGTTAAAGCTGCTTCTCAGCCCGTGTGCTGCAGATTTCGAGACATGATTTCACATCAAAAGGAAGCCAAGCCAACTAATGTAATCATTTTTTCCCAGCTTTCATCTCGGTCTGAAGCTGCATTGCGATGCCAATATCGTAACACCTCCACATGGAAAGGGCTCTTACAGGAGAACACTCAGTCGGAACATAAATGCTGAATACTTGGCTCACTGTACACTTCCTGATGTGCGTCTATGCGCGACTATCGCATTCTCGAGGTGCTTATGCTTGTGACGATAGCATCCAGGGATCAGGATATGACGATGAGCGGCACGATACTACTCGGGAGGAACTAATTACTAATTTCACTCGAACTCATTCCAAAAATTACTTCCCAGATCGATTCTCACGTGCACGGCGATTTAGACCATGGATAACCACAAATGAGCTAACATACGGTTGAGCTGTCGCTATTCGCAGTAGTCCCCTTCTTAGCTGATAAACACACTATGCGATCAGTAGATTCTGTCCGGACAACAAGTCAATATCCACACATACACACACATGGAATCATCAGGAAGAAGCGGCACAAACACGAAATCGCCTGGTCGCGTGTGGTTCTTCTGGCCCGAGCATGCAGCCACGGTAGGAGTCGCTCCAAAAAGGACAATTCAGAGGTAGGAAGGGTGTGGAAAGAGGAAGAAGAATCGAGAGGCAGGAATGAAGAGCTCGGTGGAGAGAGAGTGACAAACGCAAGGATCGAGAATCGGGAAGAAGTGAGAAGTAGGACGAGGAGGAGTTGCGAGGAGGAGGACGAGGACGATGCAAGTGCGACAGCAGCCATGGCTTGCAACTCTTGGTGGTCTCGTCTGGTCTGGTCCCCGATCGATGGGTCAGCTGGTAAAGGGGACTTCGAGTGCATTTCGTCAGTCTTGAGAATGAGAGAGAGAGAGAGAGAGAGAGAGAGAGATACACGCAAACAGAGAGAGAGAGAGAGAGAGAGAGAGAGAGCGCGAGCCCCTATGACCGCGTGTTTCATTCCGTGGCCTTACTGACCGACTGGCTGACTTACCCCCCTTTTATTTTATTTATTTTACTTACTTATTTACTTACTCCATCCTGTGTGTGTGCAACTGTCGTGAATGCTATTACTACTACTACTACTATTACTACTACTACTGGCAGAGGGAGGAAGACGATGAAGAGGGACGTAGCGGAGGGAGGGAGGAAGGGAGAGGAGGAGGCATTTATTTATTTTTGTACTTACTTCCTCCGCAGCAGCAGCAGAAGCAAAGTTCAATTCCATAAAAACTTAGTTGGCTGCTCTCTCTTTACAAGATGTAAATATATAAATGTATATTTAATACGCCCTCCATTTCCTCCTCCAAACGAAAGCAAAGTGCAATTCCATAAATCTCTCTCCCCCAGATCATGGCCACCACCACAGCTCCACCCCGCACCCCAGACCTGCCTGCTTCTGCTTCTGCTGCCCTCGACCATCCTGCCCAACCAAGAGCAGTTTGGGGAGGGGGGAGGGGGAGGGGCAGAAGGCAAGCTCTTCCAGTTTCACTTACACCAAGTCATGCACGCATTCACTCTCTCTCACTCTTACACTTTCCTTGGGGGAGAGGGGGGGGGGGGTATATGAATGCCATGTCAGCTGCCCTGGATGCCTTTGCCGTCTTCAGGGGTGAACGCCCCCCCTCTTTTCCTTCCCTTGGGACGGTGGTTTGACAGGACATACTCACATACAGAGACATCCAGACTTTCTCTCCCTCTCTCTCTCTCTGTCTGTTCGTCTGTCTGTGTGCGTGTGATTTTCTATTCTTACAGGGGTGTGGGTGTGGGTGGGGGGTAGGGGATACCCCCCCTCCTGGTCCATGAATTCCACATCTGGATCTCTGGCAGAGCCTTAGTGCTGTACTAGCTCTAAGGCTCAATTGCCTACCCACACACTTGTGGAATGGATTACATTTTGTATTCTTTATCGGAGAATATAAGATTTGTTTTTGTTTACAGAATTTTTCCAAACAATCCACGTCTTACACAACAACAAGATGATGAATCCAAAGGCAAGTGAATAACACTACAAAATAGTACATGAATGAAGAGAAGGAAGAATAACAAGAAGTTAGGAACGGAATGAGACCTTTGTAATGTTGTTGTGCAACCGAATTGGATTAATGAATGAGGTTTCGTATATCTCATTCATCCGTTCCGGGATCGCCACTCCACATGTCATAGTCAGGGTCACAGTGAGAAAAGGCACCGACACGTCATTAAAGAAAAAGTTTCTACAAACTGACAAAGGGCAACGATGACTGCGACCAACTACCCCTGTTCCTTCGCTACTGTTTTGTTTCCTTTATCTACTTGTTTTTACTTCCCCGCCCCTTCTTACTACCCGGATACTCCACCAACCCACCTGCCCAGAAACAAAAATCTTTCTTCCAAATCAAGCTGGTTTCATTACTACTCCTTCAATAACTAACACACAGTTTTCTTTTTCTTTTTCTTTTTCTTTTTCTCTTAATTTTTTAAATTCTTTTCTTACTCTTGCGTCAGCACTTCTTACTTTTTTTCTTTATCTTTAACTTTATTTCTGTTTAATCAGTGTATGGTAATAATAGTGGATGAATCATTCAATGAACAGTGGAAAAGCTGATTTGAAGCAAGTAATAATAATAACAATATTAAGAATAATTCATCAACAACAAAATCAAAAGTAGATGGTCACCTTAAAATTGAAGCTTTCATTTATTTGCAGAGGCTTTGACTTCACAATAGAAGCATCTCATCATGCCAACAACCTCATTTACAATTGCAGCCTTTGTACAAATGAATGTCATTTAAAACCCCGTAGAAATGTGACCCTTTCAATAAAACACATACATGTGGAATCCTATGCCCATGTATTAAATTTTCCAAAACTAGTAGTCTTCATTGGTAGTGAAACAAAAAGAAACAAATACTCATTGAACATTTTTGTCACCTTCTAACAAAATAGTATTTTTGTATCTATTCATTTACTTTTGTTTACTTTTTACTTTACTTTACTTTTATTTGAGTGCAGCTGTGAAATTCAAGTAGAATGCTATCTTGCATCAATGAACATGCGACGAATGAAATGAAAATTCATCCATCTAATGGGATTTCGCTCGTCTTCAGCCATCCAAATGGTATCGTTTTTCATGCATCCATCTTGTCTGTGCTGGTGTACTCTGCCCACGTGGCAACACCCTTCTTTCATATTAACTTGTTTCATATCTTCTAAAAGAACACAATCACAAGATCTAACATTGTGAAGTTAAAACATAAATTAAAAGCTTATAATTGGTTCAATCTAAAGATGTTAATAAAAAGTGATAATTTTTCTAAATTAGAGTATCTTCAAAGTATTCTATGATTTAGGATACTAGAATATAATCTTCTAATTTTTTCTAATGCTTATTTAAATTATAAAACATTAGTTAACTCATATATGTGTATGTATTTTAAAGTCAAAATTTGGACTTGAATAATGTCTAATTTATATCACTAAAACATGATTTAAAATATATTCTTGGCATGAGAGTGTTAAAAGAATTCCTATTATATACACATATATACATATATATTAGATAGGAGACCCATTTAGCAAGCCAGATAATTGTTAAATCTTAAAAGATTTTTGATAAAAAATCTTTGTCATGGATAGACCACAATATCATTGCATATATTGTGAAAATTTAAGAAATGATTGATTGTATTTTTAAAATATTTTAAAGTTTTCAACCAATCACATATCAATAGGAATCAAGTGACTGGCTAAAGTCAATGGTCACCCTTTAACAATTGGAATTTAGACAATTAGGGAATTTTGACAAACACCAATTTTGTACAAAAGTTTTGTATATATATATACACATAAAAATATAAAGTTCTTTAAGAATTTGAGCATTTAAACTATATGTAAAAGTGTCATCGAATTCATATTCAAGCCTTATTTCATAATCTAAGGTTTAAATTCAAACATGATTCAAACAAGTAAAACTATAATCCAAAAATATAGTCAGTTGTGATAATCGTGGATGTTAGATTTTTTACATGATTCATTGATTCTTATCTGTATTATGTTATGTTTTTTTTTTAATTTATTCTCTATTTTTTTAATTTTTTAATTTAAAACTCCAGTGAAAAACTACAGTGGTTAAATTTTGATGTCCGGTTGGAAACATTTTACATAGTATATTCAATGGTTTGTATGGGGGGCGTGGCAGTTGTTGCTTACCCAGATGCCATCCCAGCTGGTGTAATTTATGTTGTGTATTCAACCCAGTATCAAGGACTTACACCAAGCACCTCACCTTGCAAAGAGGAACAATGGCTTTCAACCTGATTCTATTACACATTTCTACGTTTATCCACCCCAACAGCAGAATTTGATGACAGAAGGGTCCCTTCATTACAATATATGGTCCTTCAAGCAGGCTTTGCGAAGCGTCTCAACAAGAAAGCACTGAGAACAGAGAATCATTGCCCAACCGGCAGGCTTTAAATCTGTGCAGCTGCCGAGCTGGAGTTCCACCCAGCCACCTTCCACACGGTCCCATCCGAACACCTACAGCATCCAGAATTCCTGTTGGCGCCAGAGCTGGACAAAATTCAGTCCTTGATGAAGAAGTTAAGCAATATTGTGACTAATCACGACCAGACGAACATATTCATCATTTCAAAAGTAATTTTCACTCCAGACGTTGAGCTAGCAAGGCCGTGCAACAGATGAACTTTTTGGTTCTATAATCGCAGACACAGCTGACTTTAAGTCAGTCCCCAACGGTTCAGGCACCCCCACGTGAAACTCGAGTTCAGAGGCAAGCACTGCCATAGAAAATCTCGTCAAAAGAGACATTTCTAGGCATGTGACAAGTCACAGAGAATCAGCTATAAATCTTTATTACCAAAGAATCATGATACACTCATGAAGCTCCAAAACTTAGAATGAGTTCTGTGAGAGGTATGACCTGGCCAGCCTGTATTAGCTTTTCCTGGACCAAATGCAATCCTTTGTATACAGCCTAAGGGAAAGTCGACGACGACGACGTCTGGCATTATTGATGGAGAAGCAAGTCCTGTTGTGGACTCAAGAATGCAGGATAACCTCCACAGGCAGTAGTTATTTCTGCTTTCTGGAAACTAGAAGACAAGTTCAACTGACTCCATCGACGGTTGTCAATGCTGCCCTGACTTGGACATTGCTGCCATGTAGCGGACAGGAGAACATCATAGCCATTTCTGCTCGAGTGTGATGGCAGGTCCTGAGGGAGTCAATACTCTGAGCATGAGTGCATGTAAACCACAAAACTGAATCTGTTTCTGAATCATAGTAGACAAACTCTTGAAACCGAACAGTTGAAAAACAGCCACGTGACCCTTTTCAGTTGATCTTGAGAGCAAGATTCCCTTAGGAAGTGCAGCTCAACTCGAGCATATGTTATATCTTTAAGGTATGCTTTGGTCTATATCCAATCTACTGTCTACCCCAGCAGAAGCTGGAAACCAAATTGCCAGAGAAAACTACGCCACGAATATGACCCAATTGGACCACAGAGCAGAATGAACCCTAAGAAAACTCACCTGACACGTAAATAATCCTCGCGCAAACTGATTCGTAATGTTAGCTCTGTCACGTTGGTGCCAAACACCTCGTCCCTCCTCCCCATCGGCGCCTTCCATGGGATCGGATACTTCGGATGTGGCATTTTCACTTGTCCGCATGCGCTTGGTGATCACAGAACTAGGGATCCTCGCCAACTGCTGGGAGAGACAGTTAACTGATTCTGCTTGAGCGGCCTCCTCCCTGGGGTCTTTCAAGCGTCTCTTGCTTCCAGCCTGCGCTGCCATACCTGGCCAAATAAAATCTTTTTAAGTGCGCCGATTAAACCTTGAAGTAAAATGAATGCCCATTCAGGCATATTTCACGAGTAACTAAAACGGCGCAGATGTTGTGAATTTTACCTGGTAATGTACTGGTTCGGCAGTTCAAAGACGACTCTAAAGAATCATCGGTATTCAACGGCATTGGATCTACTCCACAATCACAAACACAATGCGTGTTCTTTCTACAACGAGAACAAGCGTTTTTCCTGCACAAGTCCACACAAAGCTGAACAACTCCGCAAGCCTTTGGAAACAGAAGCCATGTGCAGCAGCGAAGTAGCGCAACGTAGGAAGCAGAGGGAGAAACATACCTGTACATGTTCTCGACAAATTCGTCCACCAGTACCGGCCAAGCACCTGCGTAAGCACAGAAACAGTATTTATTTTTTATTTTTTATTATTATTTATTATTTTTTTTCAGTTTTAAGTTTTTCATAAGTATGATGAACTGATACCACTGGATTATGCACCAGAGTATTATGCTGTACACCATTACTTCAAAAGCCAAAGAAGAGAGCTCACCCTCTACATCGTAGTTGCTAAGATCTTCATGTACACTACGGCTAAATTCAAGAACTTGCCTCCACGTATCTTCTGATACAGCATGTCGCTGATGCACCTACGGTATCAAGTCGTACAGTTGCTTAGCAAAACTTGCTTTGCGCAACCGGCTGCATCTTCCTTCAGCATGAGTGCTCAACACATTCACAAAATATATGCTCATGAAATAGCTAATTCCAAAGCATGTACGACCAAGGTAATTTGTGTTTTTCTAAGGGATAAGTACCTGAACAAAGGCACACCATTGATCGAGTAATCTGAAACGCCCAGTCAACGCCAATCTCCACCCGGCTATAGCCGTACTGACAGCTGCATCAATCAAGCCAAGAGTTATCATGTCTAAGTCTTGCACACAACCTGCATCCATATGGAAACTGGAAAATATTGAACAGTATGCATTAAATCCATCCATTGCCCCTTGTTTTCCTGTACAACAAAGCTACCTAGACCTAAACATTTGAAATGAAGTTTATATTTCCACTCAAACAGACCATACATAAAAATACTTTGTCAAAAAGGAAACTACAAAGGATAGCTTACAAATATTTTTCTGCCCTGGGTCCCGACACATGAAAAAAACAAAGCGGTAAAATACTGAAAAATTCCGCGCATCCAATAGCTGCAAACACACGACCTTTTCTTAGCTCACAGCTTCGTCCTTAAATCTTGCAACATAGAAGGTTTGAACGTGCATAAGAACCTATTACAAAGATACTGGAAAGGAAAAAAATAAACGATTAGATGTTTATGGAATAGAAACTAGAGAATTCCCGAGCCAAATCCCTTCAAAAAACAACATGTTAAGTGCCATTGTCCGCGAACTACACATAGATGCAACAATACCTTAGCTTGAAGATGCAAGCACAAGCTCCGAAGTCCGTCAAGTGCTGCTTGGCTGAATATCATCAAGTCGCAACTTAGTTGAAACGGCTAGAACGGGAAAGACTCAATTAAGTGGCAGTGTAGGATAATGAGGAACTTTACTAAAATGCTGGTACTTTCTAGAAACCCTAACTAGGAGTTCTCAACAATTCGGCCCTCGATTACTTGCTCAGTGGTTCTTCCTATTGCCATGAGTGGAACATCACGAAATCGAATTCGTTTGGAATTGAGTACCTATACGGAGCTGCAAAGGGAGAACACTAACCCTGTTAAACATTGGGATTCGGCATACGAGGATAATGCCAAGAGCCTCGACTTCATCTTGCTGGGTTCTTGATGTGCTGTTACCGTGTCTGTGAAGAAAATGCAGGAACAAGTTGATAAGCATACAGCAGAGAATGATATAAATCTCAAGTAATCATATGGAAAAGCAGATGCTACTGCAAAACCTAACAGTATACCCTAGCTCCGTCCCCACAGAGCCAGTCAGCCTGCTCCCAAATGATCAATTACCTGCGTACTCCAGATATATTTCAATCATTCTCATGTCACCATCTCCGCGCCCTAAGCTTCGCGTGACTGGCAGAGTAGACATGGTCCGATTCTGGCACGGCAACCAAGATCCTCTCGTACTCCACCAACAGCAGATCCTACTCTCCACACAGTCCTGCACGAGATGCTGGATGGCATCGATTCCGTAGGGAATTCTGCAGCTTGCTCCTAAAATTTCCTATCCTCAGAAACCCTCGTACCTCTTAAGTATAATACAAGAGAGACGCACCCTTCAAAGTTCATAAGGAGGCGTTGAAAGCATCTACGTGTACACATGAGACAGACATAAAACCTGGAGCAGGAAGGAACCGATTCAAAACTCTACAAGCCAAGGAATAAACAAAAGAAAAGAAAAGAAGACAAAATCAACTCCAAAGATCCGAATATGCACCAACAAACAACAGCCTGCAATGGAGGTTTCGATACCCTGCAGTCCTTCGCATCCTTAACACCCACTTGACGTTTCGCCACAAAAATACATTACCCCTCTGACAACACAAGCATGCCGGAGCTCATCTCCAACGGAGGCAAAACGTACCAATTGTCGGTGGTCTGAAAACTCCGAGTAGTCACAAAACTTGTCGGAAACAACCCACAGCGCACTTGCTTGTAATGTCCACGATGCAACCCAATCCCGCCGAAGAAGGTTCAATCCACACACAAAAATCGAGTACTGCAAAGTTCCTCATCTTGAAAACATTCTTGAAATGACGTCATAGCGTATGTCACCGTCCTCATATGAAGACCTTGATATGTACGACCGATTCACGTAACTCTGTAATTGCAGACACCAGATTTGTGAGGACGCTGGCTTGTATCTCTCTCCTCTCCTCTGATCATTCGCACGCCCGACTGCTGGAGAAGAGTACGAATGACTTGGGATGAGGCGTGAGTTTCATCCATCAGGAACCTGGGAATCATGCAGTTGGGCCCTGGATGCTAAAGCTTCGATTCCTTTTCTGTCCTCATCAATTAGTCGGCAACTGAAAACCTTGGATCTCCAGTTGGGTTTTGGAGCGCTTTCTCTCCAGGTTTCCATTTTGAACATTTGTTGAGGTTTCTGTTAGCGGATTTTCTATTGAGAAACAAGACTGTGGATGGGAGCTTCAAGCTGATGGGCGGCGAGCATGTCCAGGAGATGCGTTCGATGCGTCCTGGGATGGTGGGGTCATGTATTGAAGAAGAAGTGTGTTGAGCTGTAGAGGATCTGGGTTTTGGTAGTATTTCAGTAGTATTCAGTTGTCTATTGGCAGGCGTATTTCAACTGGAGAGTTAGCGCTCCCCCTGTGGGCGAGTGGTGAAAGCAGGGCAGAGTTGGTGGGGCAGAAGTTGTTGGGTGGAAATTTTTGAGGGATGGCTATGAAGTACTGATAGGATACCAGTCCTTGGAAAAGAAATGGTGCAAGAATAGGGTACAATTGGAGCGAAATGCGTTAGCTTGAAGGCCTGATAATGAAGTGCAGGCAACAAAATCTGTGAAAGAGAGGGTGAACAAACAGCTTTTGTTATGACTTAAATTCGGATCATGCATGTTGAAGGTGCCTACCCATAATACCCATTTAGGTTAGTGGTGTCATTCTCATGGTCATCGATTTGGTGCGCCTTGACAATCAAACCTCCTTTCCTTCCTCAGTCTGATGAACAATTGTCCATATCAGCGTTACAACCTCGTCGTTTCAACTCTGGGATTGGCGACGTGCAAAAGTTTTGCTCCAAATCCTTGGGTGCATTCAGATGTTCCTAGAGGAACTATTTTTCCTGGTCTAGAGACTTCGTCGCTTTAACACGTCGCTTCAGATGCCCTTTACTGGAAAGAGACGAACTCATTTAAGTAGATGATGCTTGGTAGAATGCATGCATGCACACCTTTGGGATGCAGATGGTGGATTTTATGAGATCTACTTCGAAGGAGCACCCGCGGAGATATCTGGATTTTATGTTTGTGTGATGGGCACATCCTCGGCACATGATTATGGTTATAACTGGTGAATCTGATCATACCTGTTGCTCAATGCACTACAGTTCTTATTTGAGTAACTTCATCAAGTGTTTGTGTAGATATTTCATGTTTCATGGACTTGTTTTTAGAGCTGGACGTGGGCATGATTGTTTTGTGAAGCAAAAGAGGGTCTTCGCTGTATATGTTGTCAATGCAAGAAGGAAGTTGATGACTGATTGAAATAGGTGATTTCATTTGCTAATGTTGTTGCAGATCCGTAGCTTTTCTGTTGAGATGCTTCTATTTCCTTACGTGGTGGTTTTTTTCGTAATGAAGTCTGTGTTGTTTAGAGTTGAGATATGCATTTTGAACTTGTTCTAATTTGGAATTAGTAGCCAAAATTTTAAGTTTGCATAGTTTGTAACAATTTTAGATTATTATGTGTGTTTTTTACATGTCTTGTGCTATGTTCATGTGTTATAGCTTGGTCATTTATTCACTCGTCTTTACTTGGAGTAACTGATTATCATTTGTAACATTTTCAACATTTAACTTTTTTTTCTTATTTTTTAATGTGTTGTTATTTTTATCTTTATAGTGGTTTTGGTCTTGTTGATGTTAATTTTTATTATTGCAATTATAGTTGGTTGTCTGCAATATTATTAATGTTTGTCGTTAGATATCAATATATTATTAATATAGTATTACTTTATATATATAATTTTTTTAATTTAAAACATGTTTAGAATTTATTTCTAGTGCAAAGTTCTAAAATAAAAGAAACTTCGACAAAATTGTGCTGTAAAGTTATAATATTATTTGATGTATTTCGTTTTTAGAAACTCAAAATTAAGGAATATCATTTAATTTCAGATTGTTGTAACACCATAAAAAGCAAAAGAATGCAAAACTTTAAATCTTTGAATAAATAAAATTATGTCTAAATGTTATTTTATATATGTGTATCTATACACACATAAATACTTTTATGTAATTTGTTGTTTGTTATCATAGTATAATAGAACTAGTATTATAGATATTATAATTTTAAAAAATATTAAAAATAAATACTTTATAATTTGTAGATGAATGAAGTAATATGTTTAATTAAATAAGTAAAGTATATATTAAAGCAATAAGTAATTGGTAGTTTAATATTCTATTTTTTATTGTTGATTTATTGACTCTTTGTACAAGAGATAAGATCTTTTTTCATCCAAAATTTAATTTAAATTAAAAATAAATCTTATATTTATTTTTAGTAGAAAATAATGTGTATATATATATATATATATATATTTATATGTCCATCTTTATTCAATTTTAGTAGATCATTTAGACTTTTTATATATTTTTTTTGATTCTATACTATCAATCTAAAAAACAAATGTTTTCAAATTTTAAAAAATCTATCTTCTATGTTTTTTAGATTTTTTATATTATAATTTTATAGTTATTAATAGTGAATATAATTTAAGTCAATTTTATTTATTTGTACAATGTTTATGATTAGTAATATGGATCAATTCCAAAGTACAAAGAAATAATATGTATATCTATATATATATATATATATATATTTCACTAATTTTTGGAATTGATCTACATGAAAATGAACAAATATATAGATTAATGCATGTAGATTACCTTGCATTATTTGAATTTATAGAGTTGGAATTCATGTTATTGATATTTTAATAAAGTATAAACAACAATTAGAGTCACATTACATTGTTACATTGAAATATTAAATGTTCATACAAAAAATATATGATGCTGTTATTATGCATTGAATTAGAATTAATTATATTTAAAATTTTGAATATATAAAAGAATTAATCAAAGATATTTGATAACTTTATACATTATATGCATACTACAATTTATAATCCTATAATTAAATTTATTAATACTATAAAAAATAATTATTAACAATCATATAATATTTTTGCTCCTTGTTTTAAACATGGACCTTAATATGAATACTAGATAGAACATGATGTCAGTTATTCAAAATTAATTTATTTTGTGAAGTTTGGATTGTTGAGATAGTTAAAATTGACTACATCCTTTGTTATAGTTAATTATTTTGGATGTTACATTGCTCATGTCAAAAGAAATATAGATATGTTTTGAATATAATATAAATCACTCATGTCAAAAAGAAATATAGATATGTTTTGAATATAATATAAATCACTCATGTCAAAAGAAATATAGATATATTTTAAAATAATAAATAAACATAAATAATACTCTACATTAATGATTCCTAGAATAAAACAAAGCCCTTCTAATACTAATACATGCATTTGTAAAAGAATTTAATAAATATATGAAAATCAAAACATTGAATAATGATAATAATTTTAATGATTTTTGTTTTTGTTTTTTTTTTTTCAATGAAAATTTGGCACACAAGTCACCATCAATGTTACCAAGTATATACACTTCAATTCAATTGTAAAAAGTGATCAATACAAAGGACAACGTGAGGATGCAGTAGATGAAGATAAGGGATGAACACTATCACCCGTTCTCATCCATCCATCCATCCATCCATCCATCCAAGAGCAGTGAATGGTTGCGAAGCAGGGGACAAAGGGAAATAAAGGGTGCAACGCCTCCACCCCACCCCCCGTCAGGATGGATGGAAGGAAGAAAGGGTCCAGGCAAAACGGATGCAATTCATTCATTCATTCCACTGCACAAAGCCCCTCCCTCCCTCACCCGAGTCCGCGAGAGAGTACCCATGGCCGTGGCTTCAGAATGAAGGAAGGAAGGAAGGTATATATGTATGTATGTATGTATGTATGTATGTATAGATGGTGTTGGTACAGTTTATAATTAATATTCGGCAGAATTGAATCGTATTATTATCATAATTATTATAATTATTCGTATGATACGAGGACTAGGCCCAGCCTCCTCCTCCCCAGTGCCCCGCAACACACCAACGCAGCTCCATATGCACTGGCACTGCACTGCACTGGCCATGTCTGTCCTGCCCTTGCAGTCTTCTTGTTGTTGTTGTTTTCGATGTCGTTGATCGTGTCCCCGGTTCTCCTTCCTTCCTTGCGTTGCTGCCCCCCCGCTTGCTGAGCTCCTGTTTCCTTCTTACTCGTCTCGTTTCCTTTAAGCCTGCGATCTCTACTGGTTCCATTTGACTGGAGTAATGCCTGTATCCCTGGACCCGTTGGTTTCTGTTGTGCAATGTGTTTTGGAATTTTCTGCAAATGTTGGGAAGGTTTTAGGTTTCTGAGCTTTTGTGAGGTGATCGTCGTTGAGATTTGTAGTGTGGTGAGTTGAGGTGGAATTTGCAACGACTAGTGTTTTTCTTTTTCTTTCTTGTTTTGTTGTTGGATCATTGGCGGATTTTATTTTTATTTTTGGTCTCGATGAGCTTGAGGTAAGTGCCGCTGAGATAGTGGAGCGTAAATTTGCGATCGGTGCAGAGGATTTTTGTTTTGCGCGAAATCAAGTAGGGCGCAGTGGTGTCTCCTTTTGTCAGGTGTGTGTATTGGTGCCAAGAATTAAGGCCGTAGTCAGAGAAACATGATAGACGCATGATTGGATGGTTGCGTAGGATCCGAGGGCGCATTTTTAAGTAAAGAGCTCTTCAGTTGGCATCTGAAGTGAAGATTCACTTGCTTCCTTGGGACAAAGTACAGGTTTCATATGAGAAGCTTGCTCATCTGTCGGTTGCGTCCATACTTCTAGTGATATGCAGATTTTGAGGCTGGAACGAAGTGCCTCTTGTGATAGACGATGAGTTTTCCTTACGTGGAATTTGGACCTCGACAATGCGTAATTGGTCTCAACAATGGGCGCTCGTATTCCTTAATTGGCAGTGTGCTGGAATAGGGGTCTGATGGAGTCGCTATGATAATGGCCACGAGTTGATGATGGTGACCTAGGCGAGATTGTGGAATATTGTATTGAGACGGATTAGCAGAGAAACCATGGGGATAGATCAGGGAGGATTTCAGCAGCAGCACTCTATGAACAACGACATGGAGCGATTGGCAGGCGCTATGCAAGCTGTGGAGCAGGCTTGTGCAGCACTTCAGGTACAGTGGCAGTATTCTACTCCAGAATAAAACCCATAGTCAAAGGTCTAAGAGCGAGGGTGAACTGTGCCCACTCTTGCATCAGGGCCATAAGTGTAGCGCTTCAACATTCCCCCGAATAGTTAATGAAGAGTATCGTAACGGCAATTCAGTTGCTTCACTGTAACATCTAAATTAGCATAGCAGGGCTTAATAGTCAATGGATCCGTTAAAGTTAGCAAAATCACTCTCTAACAATCCTCTACTAATTTCAACAACTCATTGTTTCGTGACCTACGTTCATCAATGTTGCTTAAAAGTGGCACTTCGTATGTTACCGTAACACTACGGCTTGACTTTTCGATGCATCGGTCAAGTGCTTTATGAAGCTATTACAGGGTACTTAAATCAATTTCTTAGTCGTGCGCAGAGCATTCTCAAGTCGCCTCAGCAAGGTTTCAGGCGGCAGCGACAATGCAGGAAGCAGCAATCCGCGAATGGGTCTTACTCACTGCAGAGGAAAGGAGTAACCTGCGCACGTAATTTTCTACTATTTTCTCGACTTTCATGCATTATTTTGCAAGTATTCCGTATCCTCTTAGATTTTACTTTAGAAGCACTCGTTAAGCTTGCAATTTGTGGGCAGATCTCATTAGCGTATTCGCTAAGTTTAAGGATTGGTTATTACTGTAATTTGCAGTAGGTGACATGAGAGTTTTGATGCTCGCTTCAATGACTGTCACAGATACTATCTGTACTATGTGATGGCGAGAGCTGATGTTCCAGAAGCGTATGTACAAATGAAGGTTTTGTCAGTTGCTGCTGTGCTACTGAAAAGAGGCTGGTGGGTAGCGACTTCCTATCGATGGTTACTTGTATGATAAGATTCGCTTAGTTTGTTAATTCATAACCATGACTGGCATTAGAGTAAATAATCCTTTCATGAATGAAACGAATACAAAAGACAGATTATATAGGTGTTATTGATGTCTTACAAGTTACAGAATCGCAGGTATGTCGAATTGAACCTTATTCAGGTTGCAAGAGTTGATGCAACCTTCTGTTCAGTTCATCCCAGCTTTGTGGAGCTTATGAGTATGAACAATTCACCTGCATATTTGTTTATTTTACACACGAATCTGTTTTCTCTTTTGGCAAGCACTTTGCTACATGTATGTTGCAGCTGAAATAATAGTATAAGAGTTTTTCAAGAGGCATGTACTATTGATTTTCTTAAAAGCCTACAGCTTCTAATAGATGGGGTTCAATCCTTAATCGGCACATTGTTTGTGATGGTAGGTTGGAGTCTGTTGCCACAGAAAAAAGAATCCTTTTTCAATGAGGTAATTAATATGATGAATTCGAAGAGGATGGCCTTTTTAGCTGTCGCTTGGTTTATAAATCACCTTAGACGACTTAAATTGACTTCAATAGAAATTATTTGCTAGTTGTTGTGGCTTGACTTAGATTCAGTGCTCCACCTTTGACTTAAGAAGTATACTTTGACTTTGAGGTTCACCATGATATACACCGATGTGTATTGTTCTCATTTTCTTTCTTTCAGGTTAGCTCGGTGTACCGACTTTGCTTTCATATCAGAATTACTCCATGCTAATTTGAACGCATACGGATGTCACGTCGGTTCTTTACAGGCCAGGCACGCAGTTTTAGGAGCACATGGGCCAGCTGCTCAATGATCGGGTATATCATTTCTAGAAGCTTTGGTGTCAGAGTTCGCTCCTTCAACTGCCAGTGCCATGGGCTTACCTGCAGAAGTTCACGAGTACTGCCGAGGTAGTTTGACGCAACTTATAACATACAGAGGTAGTGATGTGAAATACAAATGTTCAGCAGGTGCTAATCTACTACGTGTATATAGATGGTGGTGTAACACAAGAGCTTCATCTTCAACGGCTAATGGCAGGAATCACTACTTGGCTAGATCCACCCGAAGCTGTTGTCGGGGCCTTATTAGCAGGTTCAATTAGTGAAAGGTGTGACACTGATTTGCACGTGTCGCTTTATTGTTTCTGTGGGCAGACGATTGTGAACGAAGTCAAATTGATGCTTGCCTTTTACATTTTACGTTTTACGTTTTTATGTGTGCTTATTATCGCCAACTTTACTGATTCTTTTTTGATCATGGTCCAGTGAACTGTTGGATGGTTGCCGGTGCCTAGTGGCTATTGCTAGTGTAAATTCTCCATCAGCTTTCGATCAACTTCTCAAAGCTGTATCTAGGTGAGGCAAACTTCTCTATTTGGTTATATTACTTAAGAGTGATGTATGTGAGATCTTTCAGATTCTCGTTCATTACCATGTTCTTTTCTTTCGGACGACTATTTCCTTGGCCTACAAAGCCACCTTACACACACAAATCCATTTATGTTTTTTTTCTTGGCTTTAAGTCTTCCAAGAGCAACTGACTTCTTTGCTATTGTTTTGAACATCTTAACGCCACAATATTGTCGTTTTTATGATTTTGGCTGCATCTCAATTTGTAAAGATGGATTTGTAGGAACAGATGGGTAGAAACTTTGAGCTTATTAGCTTCCCTCACACGAGAGGTTATCAGAGCCCGTGAGCAGAATGGTAAAGAAGAGGATACTTGGGCAGCAGAAGCTCTCGACACGCTTTTAGATACCTGGACTGTTCTCTTTCAAGTAAGCATCCAACTAGTTGTGATAACGGATATATGACTAAGTGTCTAGAACTTTATGACTTAATTTTGAGGTCCATTTTTAGAACGTGATTGCTTTGTAATCTTTAGGGATACTGGCGAATAATTCTAACAGTACGACATTCTTGCGATGCCGCGTGGGCCATTGGTTGCTATCCTTGCTGAAACTTTTGTTCCCGAGTCTTTGATCTTCAGTGACGGTTAGCTTTGGTTTAGGTTCGGGAGTCCTCCTTTTAGTTCTGTTTTTTTCTCCGGAGAACTGAGATGTGTTAACTATTCCCAGACATAGATACGCTGAAGTAGAGTATTACGCGCAATTTGTTTTGAATACTCTGATCCTGCGCCCCTAATTGCCTTTATTCTGCATCCAGCCTGAGATTTTAGGTAGAGAATACCATTTCCCTCCAGCGGTACCGACGCAGTGGCTGCCGTTTTTAAAGCTTATGTTGATACCGAAGTGAGAGGTATTCTACAGAAACCTTATTTCGCGTGCTTTCTTTTTCTGCTGGAGTATATTTGCACTTGTTTTGCCTTTTCAAGTGGTGTTAACATAGAGGGCGATTAAAGGTTATTGTTTTATGAACCCTTCTGGTCTCTTATCATGTGGATTATGGCTTTGGTGTGTGTTTACAGCTGCTGCAGCATCAGCAAATGATGAAGATGATGATGCTGAACAACTCCGAGCTAGTATTGCAGGTCTTTCTTTTTACCATAATACTTGAACATACTATACATCTACATATCTGCTTCGTTTTCTTAGTTTCTAGAAGTGAATTTATCTAAAATATGCTTTGCCGTTGCAAATAGCTCACCTCATTCTGTTTTACTATTGGTTTGTTTACGGTTAAGGTCTGTCTTGTTGGGCGATAGAGGTCCTTTGCACTCATAGAAAACTAAGAATTTGAGGGTGTCGCATGCAGAAAGGGACGAGCATCTGAGTGCAGTGGCACTGTTGGCCAGGGCAGCTCCTTTGTCAACCATCCCCCTTCTTGCCATGCTTATTTCTAAACGCTTCAATTGGCTACTTCAAGTACGACAATCTTCTTGTTTGGTTTCTCTTGATGTTAGCATGATTGTGCATTAGAACCCCTAAATGTTTGGGTCCTAGTACAATTTATTTTTGATGATATCGTCTGCCATAGAGTTTGCGAAGGTTTCTTGCTTTTCGTAATGAAGGTCGTTTACCGTACTGGTTTTTCGATGGGGAAAGTTAGTGACATTTTTCATATGGTGGACTTCCCAGTGATACTGATACAATTTCTGATGGGGAGAAATATAGTGTACTGGGGGTAGAAATGATCCTACATCAGTGTTAGAGGAGTTGCATTGGCTTTTACTGATGTCAGGACATGTCCTTGCGGATTGCGGGGATGGTGAAACTCCCTTGGTAAATATCTTACTATTTCTAAAAATTGATTCACCCAATTTTTATGTTTAAGAATGGGTCTTCAAAAATATGTTTCTATTTGTTTTACATTTTCTCTGCCTTCTCTGGTGTTCTGTAGTAATATCGATAGTCGTTTTCTTGCTTTAAGAATGCCATATTTTATTGTAAGAAGGTGATTTCTCAATATTTTCTTCTGCAGGTCCCGGAGTCAATATCAGCATTGAACGTAAGCGGAACAGAGGCAAACAATCATCCAGCCGTCCTACTTTCTCGGTTAGTATCGGCGTCCTTGGTTAAATGAACTGCACATGAAATTTCTACTACTCTTCTTTAGACACGCTGGATGTTTATGTTCGCCACGTTAAGTATTGTTGCTTCACCGAGCCCAAGTCTTGTATAGGGTTACCAAGCTGTTGAAGTGGAGGGTTTTTGTATATTTTGCTTGTTTGAGTCTTCATTACTTTTCCCGTCTTTTGGCTCCAGATCTGTCATTGAGCTGGCACGGCAGAGCCTGGATGCATCTGTACGGGCTGAATTGTTCAGTCCACGTCTGATGGAGGTGAGAGTAGGGTAGTATTTTTTCATTTGAACTTCATTCTCTCTGAGCTTTTAATAGTGCAGTAATTAACTAGTGAATCTGATCTTTTGGGCTTTGCCAGTTAAGATTTGAGGCATGCAAGGCGTTTGTGTTTAACTAGAGTCAATTGGATTATCTGTCACAGTCTGGATCAGGGATGCACGTATTTTGATCAAGAAATTCTCAAGTAGTTCGGTTGTCCCCTGCAGGCCATAGTGTGGTTTTTTGAAGATGGGTTAATGCCAGCCGATGCAGGGCGAGGGCCCAATTCTACTCCTTCAAGCAATGAAAGTGATCAGCAGCAAATGCCTGGCGTAGCTGGTCCAGAGTCTCACCCTCTAATTATGGCATTTGGAGAGGGGGGAGGTGGTAAGACTGTGCTAGAAATGCTTGTAAGAGTGGCTGGAGCTGCTCTAACTGCGTGGCTTGGTGAACGCAGGTTGCAGGTATGACTTTTGATGCACCATGTCTCAATGAGTGCTCAGCATTTGCTTGTACAGAGAGGTTGAAATTAATTTGGTGAAATTTTGTGTGGCTTCTTTCCTGGGCAGGGACACTTCCTAAAGAATAGTGCGTTTTATTGACGTGGCAGGAACTTGCAGCATTCCAGCTCCTTCCATCTTTGGTGCAAAGACGCAACATTTGTGTTCATTTAGTCACTCTGGTGAGTTCCGTCTATCTCAGTGTTTCAATATGGCACTGTTCAGGCTGTCTTACAAGGTCAGAAAGTTATCGTTGCGTGAGCACTACGTCCTGTATAATTCTTGTTGTAATTTCATTTCATCGGGTGATTCCAAATTGTGTCTTCCCTGAATTGGCTGGCAAGGTGTATTCCTCGTCTTGTCCGTTCTCCGAAATTGAAACCCGTGGAGTATTTGAACCAGCTTGGAATCTGGAGTTTGATACGAGGTTGCTTCTGCATTTGTAGGAACCTTGGCAGGAATTGGCTCAGGCTTTTGCATATCAGCAACCACCCCTCGCTCTTCTCGCGTCCCCGATTCAGGTTAGGATAATGCTAGTGTATACCATTGTGTCTACTTTGCTTTGTTCAGGTTGTAAATGGACCTGCCTATGTTGCAAGATTGACTTTTGAGACCTGAAAAAATGCTAAGTTTCAATTTATTTTTATTTTACTTAATTTTTGGAACTTTGTTCCAATGCTGCCAACATGCTACTAATTTACATTCGTTGCATAAAATGGCATTGACCTTTGTGATATTCCGGTGATGTAGCGTGCACTGTCAGAAGCCCTTTGTAGATCAGCTTCGGGTATGGGCCCTGCAGAAGCAACCAATCAGTTAGTGTGACTTGAACTTCTTTTTGTTCCTGGAATGGGAATATGTATCACCACGCTTAGTTTCACAGTTGAACCAATCTCACACATTACTTGTTGGAGGTCATGTTAGGGGCACTAAGTCTAGTTACGTTGTTCAGGTATGTGAGGGATTTGTTGAGTCCACTGGCCAGCACTTTGGCTACTATTTCAAAGCATGATGATCTGCAAGTTTTGTCTCAGCAGCCTAATGTTATCATTCAGGTGAGATATTCTTCCCTCTTATACTTGGCCACTCTATTCCAACTTAATTTGTCCTAATTCTCTAGCTTCTGAATGAATTTTATATTTGTGCATTTTTACAAGAATGTATCATTTTGTTAATCATAACAGTCTTGAGAAACTGATGGGGCTGCCTGTGTTTACTGGAGCGAACCACCCACCATCAATGCTTGACCAATAGTCTAACAACCAAATGGGCGGCTCATGCAAGGCCTAGGTTACCATTTACGATTTAGGGACATTGGTACTGATTACGCCTCGATGAAGGCTGGGCTAGCACTGGCTCAAAATGGTTTTATGATGGCCTGTAGTTTGAAAGGTGATGTGACTAAGTATCGCAGGTCTTAAGCTTTCCAGAAATAGTTTTAACTCTGTTGCTATGTCATGCATGTGCCTTGTGCGAATGTAGGTAAGTTGTCTAATTGATAGATTAAGAGGGGCAGCTCGAGCTACGCTACCACGAAGCCAGAGTGCAATTTTCGATGTAGGGGCTGCTGTTATGGAGCCATTGCTGGTCTTGATGCGAACCTACAACAACCATGTAAGGCAAACACGGCACGGGCTTGTAAATTTTGGAAAACGAATATATCTCAAATTGTTCCGGTTCCTCTTGTCTCCTATGCTTACAGAGATGCATTGGTTGCATGTGTCTATCTCATTAATATAGAAATGAGTTTGAAGAGCAGCACTAAGTTTTTGATAGCGAAGTCGATTTTATTCGTGAAGCTTTCATGTTGCTTGAGACAGTCTAATGGGACGTGTGTTGTATTTTATTAGAAAGATGAATGACGTCTGTTCTATGACCCACAAGTATATTTGGATGTGAGATCGGTGCAGTCTTCTGTGATCTACTTGGTGCTCAAATATGTAGTCGATTGGGTGGACGGTCAAGTAGCTTTCTTGGAGGCTAAGGACACAGCTATTGTTTTCAGCATTTGCGTACGTCTGCTTGAGATTTATTCGACTCATAATATAGGAAAGGTGTCAGTGAGTACATCAGTGAACTTGAATAATGAAAGCCAGACTGAGAAGTACAAGGACTTGCGGGCTTTACTTCAGCTCCTGACCAATTCGAGTTCAAAGGATCTGGTGAGTGCTATGCTCATTCATTTAGTGAGTTGTTCCTTGTTTTTTAAGAAAGAGTTCTTGATCTGTGTTGTTTTCCATTGAGCGCTTCTCTTCATAGCTGAAATATACGTCTCTAAACTCTCTTGGCGATTTTCAGATTGATTTTGCCTGTGATGTTAACGGCGAAGTAGAAAACTCTAAGGTGGCACAAGTTAGTGATACGTACTATTAGAAACTCTTATGTTACCAATGTAATAATTGCATTTTGGTGTTGGTTTATGTCGGGCATGTCATATCAGCAAGCCCCGATCAGCTCTATCAATGTATCTTTCTGAGTCTTTAATTGTTTTTCTTTTGTGTTCATTGGAATTCATAAATTTCCTCATTATATCTACAAAAACTTCTGTTTTAGAGCTCGGCACAAGTGTTATCCTCACTTTTGGATCTTATCTGTTTGTTTCATTAATGGCAGGTTGTGTACTTGGGCTTACACATTATTACTCCGCTTATGTCAGTTGACCTGCTTAAATGCCCAAAGTTGTCCCGTCAGGTTAGTATACCTTGGTGCTTTGTGTTTGATTCTGCTTATCTCTATTTTATTTTTAAAAATTCTGAAATCAATGCTTCTTCTTTTTTTTTTCTTTTTTTCTTTTTTCTTTCTTTAGTTTACACCTGGAAAGTGTGGCAGCTTGTTACAACCTCCAACGATGACGTGTTCGCAGTTAGACCGATATAAGAAAATTAAGGTTATATTTTAATTTATATTGACCCAATTTTGAATGCTGTATCAGTATTTCACTTTGTTAGCACACATGTTGGAAGTTTATCCTGAGAAGGTGGCTAAGCTGTCGCCTGAGGGATTCGCTAGGATTTCGGCCACTCTAGAGTTTGGTTTGCGGCATCAGGTACCGGACCATGCAATACAATGCGTGAACAGTCTTCGTGAATTTGTGTATATTTTATTTCAATACCTGCTGAATACTAAAGGCGAAGCAGTGCCATCTAGAAGCTGTCACCTGACATTGTCTTGGGATTCTTGGAAGATGAGCTGCTCTGGTCTAAGAAGCAACTGTTGTTTCATCCTCTATCTTCCTTGCAGAACGTGGAGGTTGTGAGTATATCATTCACGGCATTGAATGCTGTAGCATTTTATCACTATCAGGCCATATGTAGAGGTCAAGAAGGTCTAGGTATACATGCACTTAGTATTCAAAACGAGCATGGTGTAGTGAAGGAAGGAGTATTGGACCACTTCCTCAGATCCGTCATGCAGTTCCTTCTGTTTGATGACTACAGGTATGTACACTAACTGGATTTGTGTTGATCGTCCTCTGATTGTGGATGTACGACTTGGTTGACCATAATTCTGCATACAATCCCTCATTTTTGGGATGTTGAGTACTACATTTAGTTTAGTTTCCGAAACCTGAGATCAATCCTCCTAATATTAGTTTTGTCGAGCCATTTAATCTGATTATTTACTAGTGCCGCTTATTCCATTATTTGTTGAACTGCCCTGTATTTGTGGCGTGAAACTTGTGTTACGCCAATTAGCAATAAGGTTTCAGTTCTGTATTGCATCGAAGAGTTGATTTTTCCAGTAAATTTTACGGCTGAAGGAGTTAAGGACTATTCGTGTGCAGTAACGATCTTGTGGAGCTAGCCGCAGATGCTCTGTTGCCTCTTGTCGTGTGTAATACTGCTTTGTACCGGGTAAGTAATTTACAGTAGAGATTAATTTTGGTAACTACACAATGTGTACCACTGTCGTTTCACTAAATATTTTCGTTGGATTCTTTCCCCTCCACTAGTATTTTCATCATGTTTTCAACTCGTGAAGTTGACATGGGTGCATATTTGATTCGTTTGGAACAGAGATTGGCACTGGAACTTCTGAAGGGACAGCATCATGCTCTTCTGCAAAGCCGACTTGCTACAGCATTTCATGTCCTTTTGAATGCTAATCAAGTTACTAGCCTTTTCGTCAGTCTCAACACCTCATTTGGATCCATAAAGGAATTCCTCACCAGCAATTGGGTGACAGTGTGTGGGGCATATACAAGAATAACCGTTTACTCTTTGGATGTCTTTTACATGGGTTGGACGGACAATTCGAAGTCCAAACTGAATCTGAGACTGTAGCAGAGTAGCTAATATGTGCAGTGGTGGGTTTGCTGAATGAATTTATACACAGTGCGCAGTTTCAGTTTCGATGACCTCAGCCATAGCTTAATCTGGTAACCTCTTCATACGCTACTCAGCAGATTTAATTCGAAGGAGGGACAAAGCTACCAATACCGGGCAGATGGCCGACGCTAATCCTCAAGAGCCATGAATCGGTTATGAAGGGGCAGGTTTCCCCGATAAATTATGAGCGGCGTGGTTGGCTCTCTGCTCTCACGCACGTGACTCCAGCTCCTGCAAATACATGTCAGAGAGGTCGGAAATGTCCATGCCGTTGTACTTATTTGGTGTTGCGTAAATCCACAACTCGTCGGACTTCAGCAGCTGTAATATGGGCAGACAATCAGATCAGTATACGATACGTGCATAAACTGCAGCAATTTAGTATTTTTTTTTACGAGCAATTTAGTTTGATTACACTTTAATAGGGCCAATTTTTGAAAGCAATCAATCATGTGTACCTCAACTTGATTTTGTAAAAATTTGACGTAATGTATAGCTTCGTCCAGCATGGTTACTATGTCAACCTTGGCTCCATTAGGTACTAGGTTTTGTAAACTCTTCAATCGTTCGTTGATTTTTTCTCTCCTATGCTGCAATAGATCATAAGATTTACACACCGTTGCCGTCAAAATGTAACCATGAAAAATGCTGCGCAATCATAAATCTGAACGGGATGGATGGAATTCCTGCTGAATTCTGTCATCAACAGTTAACCTCTCATTTGCTAGTTCTGTGAAGGTGACTCACTCTAGCGTAAACACTCTGAGGATCGGTTGCTGAACCCCGCTTTGCTCGTGGTTTGCCATCAGTGTTGAGCGCTGGGCCAATTGCAATTATGTCCATGGGCTGCGATGCAGTAAGACTGCTGCCAACCAAATGAGAGTACGATCTCAGTTCTCTTCCATTCATACTCTGATCGCTCCACAAGGCATTCGGATGATTCTCCTGCGAATTATTATTTTTAAAAGTATTTATATTGAAAATATTCAAATATATATATAAACGTTTAGCTTCTGGGAACACTACAGAATACGCAGCATGACAATGAGCCGAACATATTGACTCAGCCCCATAATGACAATACGACATTGCGTGCGAAAACCATATAAAAACCCAATGAAAAAGGTATTTGAACTTACAAAAAGTTTAGAGCGTTTGAGCTGGGTGGGATTTAATTCACTGTTTTCACTATCAACGATCTCCTCAAGTTCAAGAGGGTGTTTCCCAGAACAGGCTTGCTTTATACTCGTTTTGGCCCCTACACATTTGCCGAAGAAGCTGTCCACTGGCGAGGTTGTTCTGTCCCCACCCCTGAGAAAACTAGGCTTGCTCTCTGTACAGAATCCAATTGTAGCCTCTGCGTGGCCTGCTTCACGTAGGGACGCAATCAGCTTCATCGCCTTCACAGACTCATCTGTCGTCACGGACCCATCGTAATACTGCGGTGTCCAACCTCCCGGCGTCGAATCGAACGTGCCATTGGGTGCAATGAAAATATCAGTGTGACGAGGTTTCGATGCATGACTGGCACTGGACGGTGCAATGCCCTCCAGGTGATTAATTGCATTTGCTAAGTGATCTGGAATAGAAGTCCTGGTGGCGCCTGGTCCATAAGCATGACCGGTTGTTGCCATTGGCCACGGCATTGCAGATGGAGAAGCATCCCAGGGGTCCCCAAGCGGGTTTTGCAGCCCATTCTGCAATGCTAGAGGCGATGAAGGCGACAATGGGCCCAAGGCTCGAAGAAGCTGGCGGGAAACGGTGCCTCTATCATACGCGAGGGAAATAGCCGAACCTAGTTCGTGATCAGTCATTTTTTTGTCTGGTGCACTGGCCGCAGGGTAAGGTAAACAATCCGAGGAATTATGTTTGGAGCTACTTTTCGGGTACATCTCTGTGAGAGCGGGGGAATAGTCCAGAATAGAATCACCGGGGCCTAAACCCTCCTGCATGAATGCTGGGGGATGATCCACGGGGTCGGAGGAGTGACTAAGATCCGGGCTCAAGGCAGTTTGGGAGAGGGGAGGGAACCCTGACATCCAAGTGGTGAGAGAGTCGCTTTGCTGGAAGGAGAGACGACTCGACGTGAAGGAACTGATTTCGGGGAGGAAATTGCTGGTGGAGACTGTATCGTCGCCGTTCGATGCTTGCGTCCATTCCTCCCACAGATTCGAAGTCTCAAATGTGTTACTTCCCTGCTGAACGACGCAAGATGGCGTCTGGCGCCCCGACGTTGAGCCTGAGTCCATGCTTGAGACGTATGGCTGTACCATTGTTTCCCGCTGCTCTTCAACTGAGGACATGTATAACTGCACCATCACAATCTGCTGTCACATGAAATGAGTTGAATTAATGCTCTTTACGCATCACCGTCCACAGTTTGCACCGACAGAACCTCTCCAAATAGAGTCAGTTCTAGTACTCAAGAAGTCTCCAGGTTCTCCAACAGGGAACAGGTTCAGCACACTAAACACAGTAATGACGGTGAAACAACCAAACTTAGTGTTGACAAGAATCAACTTGAGCACTTGGACCAGCGATGGTGTACATAAAAACATCAACATTCAAACTTTCACGGCTCAGGTTGGAATTTGAGATATCCTCCAAGAATGTGATGCAACAAAGTAAATTCGTTGCCGATTCAGTCAAGTATAGGATTAATAGTTACTGAATACCAATTTAGGTAGCAACGACTCGTGGGCTAATTTCAATTTACAACTCTAACACCTTCTGGAAGGCTCCACATGAATATAGTAGTCCCACATTGTAAGCAGAAATTTCCTTCTTGCAAGGATGGAAAACGAACTCGAAAGCTGGGTTTGAACAACGTACCGTCTCTCTTTCAGGACTACACGTCCTCGCCTCGGAAGCCAACCTTGATACAAACGGTCATTGGGCTGAAGTTCCTCACCATTACTGGACCAGCTATACGATCAGAGACAATCGCTAATACTACACAAGTACCAGACTCATCAACATAACCAGTGAAGATGCGCAGATCGCCAAGCGCCAGAAAATGGAATCCTTACGTTGTATGATCGATCAGTCCTGGTTATCAAGCATAAGTCTACTTCTGACCGTGTCTCAAATTTGAGCCGTTCAGATTCTTTGATTCGCTCATGGTATACTGCATGATGAACGACTACGTCCAGTACAGAAAATGGAGAGAGAAAGTGACAACGTCTTATGCTACCGCTGGGGCACAATTAATCTTCTACTCAGGTGCCAATGCTGCTTAGTGTAAGCTTCCTACATAATACTCAACATCATAATGAAGATTTCAGGCGCGAACACGCCTTTAGTTTGTTTCAATCAACTTCAAGTTACCAGGAACAAAGAAGACGATCGGCTCCACCGCAATTACCCTTGCACTGGACCAGAGTCTAACTTCCAACAACAAAAATAAACACGATAACACTAAAAACACAAAATAAAACTCCAGTGGGTCCACAGCAGAGCGCCGCCGATCGTTCTGCTTCAGGCAAACTTGAGCAAGTCACCGATCAGATTCACGACGCGTCAGACGTCCCGGCTGCAATACAAGTGGAATGCCAGAAACGCGCAAGAGGATCAACGAATGTGAAGAGCGCCCAGCATTGACGCCGTTGGAGCGTGTGTGCACAACATACAAGTCTCAGACCCAGTTCGACGACATTCTGGTCTTCGAAACTTCTCGAGTGGCCTCAAAAAGCAGGTATGTCAGGCCGGCAGTCTTTTTGCGCCTCCGACAAGTTCGACAAAGCAATCTAGCTCAAAATGTCCTCAAAAGCTTGTTAGAAAGCAGGATGTCCTTGAACTGCACCTAGGGACGATGAGGCAATCGTGACTTTGAAGTGGGTTGCTTTCATGCTCTCGGGAATGGAGCAGCTCCGGAAAGTTGAAATCTAGAGAAGCAGCGGCATGGTCACACGCTGAGTGGCGGGAGTAGGGGTGGCACAGAAGCCGAGACGAGGCAAAGATCCAGTGCGAGGAGGCAAAAGGCATAAGATTGCAGTCTGGCAGAAAGGTCGGGACCACAGCCGCTATAAAAAGCCTTGTATGAATGGTCGGAGAGGGAAAACCCAGAGGTGCCCTCCAGACGTGTACGAACACTTGCATTTAACACCCCCCCCCCCGCTGGAATCCCATTACTGCGAGCTCGATTACTATAATTAAAACCCCTCCGCTGCCATGACTGCTAACTCTGGTGACTTCTGATCCAAATCCCGCACCCTTCAACACCCACGAAAGTTCTGCATCTGGATGTTATTATGACTCCCAATCAGGTCATTATCGATAATGTTTAATTTAAGGCTCCGAACAAAACCAACGGTTGCTCCCCATCGCCACCTTCGTGACCAGATGTCAACCCCTCAGACGAGTCTACAGTTGCGTGAACTTGTGCACAGGCGCCAAACTAGTCTCCAATCCATCGTGGCAGTTGAGATATGCAATAGACACAATAGGGCCTGGGGGCCTGATTTCCCTTTGAGTCCGTTGCATGCTGCAGGTATCTCTAGCACCTTCGCCTAGGTGATTCTCACGCACACCCCGAATCTTCACACGCGGTCTCCATTCTCTTTAACAACTCCTATTCATGCGGCACGGAAAGACCACATTTCGGCAGCATCGCATTCCTTAGACCACAATCTCTACACGCTTGCTCCTCCTGCGCTTGATCGATATTCGATGCCGGCAGCCACAATTGATGCAAGTGTGTGACTGTTAGAATAAGAAATGGGATGTAGAAGGGACATGAACCCCCCTGGCACCCTGGCACTCCACATCAGCACTGCAATGCCTAGGTGGCAGGGGATAGGGCAGCAGACCTCCTCCTGCTTAGAAAGAAACCCATAAATGGGGCTCTAACTAAGATTCATGACCCCCACATGGGCACCCTCATTGTCTTGTTCAACCAACAAAAACACACACACAAAAAAAACACACACACACACACACACACCCTCTTCAGCCTGCTCTTCATTTGCTTTGCTTGGTTGTTGCAGCCCCTCCTCTAGCTTGGCCACCCATCAAACAACACCCCTCCCCATGCTTACTTGTGGTCTCAGTACTATTATTACTATCACTACATACTTACTTCAACAACAACAACATCAATTAATAGATAACACTACCACCCGCAACATGAAATCCAAATTCTATGTTGTCAGTTTTTACTTTTATTTTAGTTTATTTTATTAATGTGTTATTAACTACAATGAAAGCCTTGGCAACCGTATGCAAGGCAAGTGGGGGGAACCACCAAGAGTTCTCTTCCCTTCTCATTTCTATCTTCTAAGGCAGTAATATCTCCTGCTGTGACTTGTAAAACATGGATTTAATGAAGCTGTGTAGTGGCAATATATATATATATATATATATGTGTGTGTGTGTATTTATAAAATATTAATTTATCAAGTCAATAGCACAGAATGCTGATCTGGAGGATTTGCTTGTCATCTGTTGTATTTCCTGTTCCTTCCATTCTTATTCTTTTTCTTCTTTTTGGTTGATTGGTTTGTATTTCTTTTGTTTTGTGGGACATGTAAAAAAGTTTAAATACTATAAAATAATGCATGCACGGAGCCATGGTATATTTCTTTGGAGGAACACAAGATGGGGGCATGTGTTCACACCTGAAATATGAAGAAACAGTGTTTCCTTATTTTTGGCTGTAGGGTGGGGGAGTTTAGCTGAGTGTGTCCATGTCTAGGTGGCATCCTCATAGGAACATATCTGGTAAAGGATTGTAGTAAATAAATTAAAACACTCCAATGACCAAGATCACTCCATTCTGTTCTCTATTGAAATATACATGTAGATATATATATATATATATATATATATATAGAATGGATTGAAGAAGGTTACAGAATCAAATGGAGAACTATCTAAATCAGTTCATGTACAAACTTGAATGCCACATTTCAAAGCACAACAAATCCAATGTCAGTCCATTATATAGAGGACATGCAGATCCCCAACCTTGTGTCATTGGGAGCAACATAATGAAAATACAACTTCACACCCTAAATTGCTTGTGTTTCCTCCACCAAAAATGATAATTATTTTTGGCTAATATCTCTTATAACTTTGACATTCACAACAGTTTTTTGCACATAGATCATACTCATTCACAGAAGTAACTAAAAATAAACAAACTGAGTATCCTATCGCATTCATATATGTGACAAATAAAAACACTACAAATCACTTTATTGATCAGAGGCCTTTAGAGAAGCTTCATAAAAGTATCATACTCCTCACACAAGGTCAACCCCCCCCCCCCCTACAATAATGTAATGAGGAAAAGACCTATCTGATCATCCTCCATTACTCTCTCATGGAAAGCTATCTGGCCATAACCAAATGCATCCTCATACCTATATACCATATCTTCAGGATTGAATAATGATTGATTATATATATATATATATATATATATTTATAGCTACTATGCATTCAAGGCAAAGGCATTCATCATCCAATCAAATTTAACCTTAGATAAGGACAATGGAATTCATAACTGACCTGGGTTGAAAAAAAAAACTTGAAAATAGAGTACGGAAGCTTGTAAACAAACAGTTCCAAATTTGCATGGCCTTTTTGTTGTGGTAAAAATAAATAAATAGATAAAGAAATAAATGACAAGAACAAAAATAAGGAAAAAGGAAAAAGGAAAAGTGGGGGATGACAGGGCATATGGGATATTAAAAGGGCTCTTGACTTTAGGGAACATATACAGGCATTTGTTTTTGTTAGCTCAACTGCCCCCCCTTGCTCTCTTCCCTTTAAATCATCTTTCTCTGGATAAATTTACATTTTTATTAAATGAATATATGATACTTGATGTATACTTTTTGGTTCCCATGCTAGGGTCCACACTCCCATGTTCACAAGGCAGTGATGGTTTGCGGCCCCTTTTTTCAATAGTAATATATGTCATGTACCACTGCTCTCTCCTGTACGTACACTCTCCCCACTTTATAAATACATTTACGATTTACTTCTCTTTTGACATGTTAGGCTTGTACCCCTGTGGTATTTAAAATATATTCTAATAATCAAAACCAACATAAACATAATAAAATAAGGCTGCCCTATGCACCAGAAGAACGAACATTCGGAATACTCTAGAAGAATTGACCACCATTGTGCCCATTACTTTATCAAGGACTTGTCACTTTTATCAACCCCTCTGTACTTTCACCCATTTCCTCACACCAGTTGACTGATGGATGGACAGATGGATGAACGTATGTACGGATGTATAATGGCAATTGTGATATGGTGTAATGTTGAGGCCTTTTGCCATTCTCTTCTTGGAGGCACATGAAATTGTATTTAGAATCAACCAACACATAATATTAAATGGCTTCCCAAATCAAATTCATGGGTTGAGTACCACAATCAAAAAAGACTGATACACAAGCACATTTCTTAACTATTGCAGTATATTGCATAGGTACAAATGGATATCAGGTTCAAGGCAAATGTTGCTATATGTATATATATACATGTAAATTACAGAGAAAGGAAAGTGTGGTTGGGAAGACAGAGTAAATAAAAAGGGAAGGAGCGGGGGGGGGATATGACATGGTCCCCCATCCCCCTCGTTCTCCGTCTGTTCCCCTTTGTTCCCAATCCCTCCTTGTGTGCGCGTGCCTCAGTGAAACTGATTGAATGAATGAATGAATAATGGATGAATGTAAACAATATGCGGTGGTTGTTCCGCCCCAATTTGTACAGAATAATTCTCATCCATTTGTACTGAGACACGGAGATCCGTTCGGGGGATTGCACAGGAATCAGGCCACCAGACTCTTGTTCCCCACGTTCCCAACATCGGGCACGAACACTATCACCCTGCATCACCGTGTTGGCAGTGAGTGCACGAATGAATGAATGTATGATATGAATAAATAAATTAAATGGATGAATGAAATGTAAATAAATTAGTGAATGAAGTTATCACTTAACAACATATATGTTTGAAGAGGCCGTGTCCTGAGCTACATGAAGACACATTATTCATCCATCCATTCCACATGCTTCTCTGTTTCATCCGTCCATCTGTTCAATTTTTGCATGCTCAAACTTTTTGAAATAATTCTTGTGAGTGCGCAGAAATTAACTTCAAGTGTATTAACTTCAAGTACCGTTATGGTTTAATTTTTATTTTTCCAAGAGAGCTAAGTATTATTTTTAATTTTTCAATTTCCAAGCAATGAAAACTAATTAATTCCCGCTTTATTTTACTTCAATCCAAAATTAGCTTGACAATAGTATTAATATATATTTCAATGTAGGATTCATTCCCTTCATCAATTCATTATTAAGAAAATAAAATTGCAGGTGAAGTTGTATGAAGCTGTTCACCCATGTGTTGACTGTTCACAATTCAAATGAAAATACCTACATGATATATTTCCACACTTTTAATGTTAATCTCTATTGAAAACATGTGACTCAAACATATATGTGAATCTATTCTGATCAACCTAGTTATTAATTTCTTCGTTTGAATTCATTAAAGATGTAAAAAAGAAATCCGATTTAACAATTAAAATTGAAGCGATCTGATTAAGTTTATTTTTTGAAAAAGTATCGCCACAGTTCATTTTTAATATATTAATGCCTTTTGTGAAAGCGGTTTGATTTGTTAAAAAACTAAAATTAGAGGAAAAGTGATCTTCTTTCTACGAATAAATTTAAAGCTAAACTCGTGGCAAGTGGTGGGGTTAATCCTTTTCCCACTTACCTACAAAATGACACATCCACATTCATCTACATGTTCATCCATGCCATTCATCCACTAACCTCATTTGATACACCCTACTTAACTTGACTCTTCTCTCTCCTTTATTCATTTTTGTTTTATTTTATTTTTAGATAAAATATGATTTTATTTTTAAACAATTCACAACCAATATGTAGGGATACGAATGTTTTGAAGTATATGCCAGATGTTGGGAAATATGAATACAAAAATGGGTAGGTTGACTTTTTGTGTACAATAGAATAA